AGAGAGCATAAAAATTCCGACCGTACTTTTTCACATCCAGTTTTGGGCCACCCTAATGTACATCCATACATCCATCATAAACAACCTCTAACACACTAATATCTGTCAATGCAGCAACAAAACCCAAGTTGTCTTATCTGTTCCTGCCAAATGCTCTGCTCTTCGCAAATTTTACAAATATGCAGTGCAAATCTGGCCGCTATGCGATCAGTCTCTGCTTCTACTCAGCGCTTAGTAAGCCGTGGTGCCGTGTCGCAACCGCTCGCCACTGATAGCTCCTGGCATCGTTTTTAATTGAATTTGAAAAAAAACTTAATTTTCAAAACATGAATCGTTGGCGAAATCGCGTGGCTGTGGTAACCGGTGCGAGCTCGGGCATTGGTGCCGCCTGTGCCAAGTTAATTCTGGCCCAGGGCATAAAGGTAGTGGGCATCGCGCGCCGCTCCCAGCGCTTGGAGGAGCTCAAGCGTGCCCTACCCAACAACCAGCAGCAACTCTTCCACTTCAAGCAGTGCGACGTAGCACAGGCAAGGCAGGTGAATGCCGCATTTGATTGGATCGAGCAGGAACTGGGCGGCACTGACATACTCATCAACAATGCGGGCATTCTACGCGAAGGCAATCTGGTGGATATGCCTATTAGTGATGTACTCGATGTTGTAAACACGAATTTATTGGGGTCAGTCTATTGCCTGCAAAATGCTTTCAAAAGCATGCGAAAGCGCGCCTATCCGGGACATTTGATATTCCTTAATAGCACAGCCGGCTTGCCGGGCTACAGTCCAGGCATGGAAGAGCCCAGCTTAAATATTTATACACCAACAAAGTTTGCTTTGAGCGCGATTAATGAGATTTGCCGATAAGAGTTGATAACGCTAAAAGCAAAAGTCAAGACAACGGTGAGTGAGTGTGCCGTGAGCAGCAGTCGAATATTGCAAACTGTAGATTATCATTCAGCTCCTTATATATTTATTTTGAATTTTGCACAGAACATCAGTCCCGGCTGGGTCTCCACTGAATTCGTGTCAGACGAGTCCAAGGCGCAATTGGGTGATGTGATTCTGCAGGCCGACGATATTGCCAATGCGGTCATCTATGCGCTTTCCACGCCGCCGCATGCACAGGTGCAAGAGATTACGCTGCGCGCCTTGGGCGAGTGGTTCTGAAGTGGTGCAGTGGTGTGTGTGTGCATGTGAAGAGGATTCCTGCAAAATGTGGGACTAGGTTAAATACTAGTACAGGACCACCACGCTACCTTGTAACCAACCAGGTCAGCATACCTGGTCCTCCAATGAGTAAATGGGACAGAAGCAAAGGGGTAGGAGAGCCAACAATCACACACTGAAGAATAATGCGAACGCACACTCACCCATACATACACACTGAAACAAACTGTTATTATGCTCGTCGTAGCTTGTTTATATACAAACTTACATATATGCCTCGTGGTATTTATTTTTACCTTAAACGAAATGAAATTATGTTTGTTGTTGTTGCTTTTTGTTTCTATTGTTTACTTTGTATTTGTACCACCGCGAACTACACAAAATTTTAGCCAGTTTCCGTCTGCGGCCAAGCTGATTGTTTTCAAACGATGAAGTCATTAAATTGTCATCACCTGGTAATCATAAAATCTTATTATGTATATGTATTTGTTGCTCTCGCAGCTATTGATATTGTTTGCGGGCGATAAGTGCCCTCCAATAAGCAAATTATGTACGTAGTTAATAGCAACAGGCGTTTCATGTGAAATTAATTAGAGGCGAGTAGAGAGTGCGAGCGAAAAACAAATCAGAGCGTGAAACAACAAGTGTGCCGCTTGTGGGCTAATTGCAACAATAATAGAAATTTCGCAGCAATTGAATTATGCTGACTGTTCTATTGACAATAAATGTCAGCTCTAAGCGATTAAATAATTCAAACAGGCAGTTAAAGGAGACTAGTTAAAAACAAATAAATGGAGAAGTATACACAGAAATGTAAATTGGATGTACATTAGGGTGCCCTTCTAAAATGCCTTTTTTTCTTGGAAATTTCAAGACCCTACCCCCTAATTTTATTCGTTTTTATGAGAAACATTATTGCATATTTTTATAGATTTATTAAAGGTCATTCAGAGCACAATGTGTTTACTAAATTTGGTCGAGATCGGTCAAGTAGTTTTTGAGATACGCATATATCATATAAGTGGGCGGTGCCACCCCATTTTCCTAAAATTTCTTGCAATACCCCTTTTTTCTAAAGTGCGATTGTATATATCAATTTTGAATAAATATTTATGAACTCCTTAGCCACACTGCTCAAAAAACTGAAATTCCGGTCATACACAATATAAATCGGAAAAAAATCGAGTTATAATAATATACAAAAAATCAGTTATATCAAATAAATTTAATAACAGCAAAACTTATCCTAAATTTTTGAAATTTTTTTTTTTGTCGAGGGTGTTGCGTATTTTCGTCCATATAAAGATTTTGTTCACATGCATGCATACATATGTTAACCCAAATTTGAAGAGGTTACAGGTCATAAAATTAATATTACTTTTATAAAAAAAAAATCACAAAAAAATTGCAAATTGATAAATTTTGTAAATATTAAAATAATTATTATTTATATGAATGATTGAATGAGTCACTGTATCTTGAACATAAGAAATTTTGTTGTGGAACCATGAAGAAATTTAATTGATAATGATCCAAAATTTATAGGGATAAAATTGGTATTTTTATATTACACTGCACTGTGGGAAATTTGGCCAAACTTAGGGGAAAAACTAGAGTTTTTGAAAAATTTTGCCAAACTATATTAATTTGAATTGAAAGCACAAAACGGTCTGAATTTCTTAGTTTTTTCAGAAATCGGAAGAGTTGCAACATGAAATTGCAAATACCAAAATTTTTCTAAAAATTCTGATTAAAAAGTTTGAAATTTTGTTTCAACTTTGCCAAAGTTTCCAAATTTTTGTACAAAATTTGAAATATGGCTTTACATGGTTTTTGTCAGACTTTATAAAAAAAACTAGCAGAATAGCAATTTCGAAACAAGTAACTTTTTTAATTCACAGCAGAAAATTAAATGAAAGTAAAGCAATAACACCAAAAAGCGCAAAGCTGATGAAAATGCGAAAATTTGTAAGCCTCGATCCAACGTAGATAATAAATTGCATAAACCATTGGAGCTGAACTTTTCAAGTAAGTATACTTACTTACTTAAGTATACTTACATATATGTAAGTGCAATGAAATGCCTGGGGCATTACTCAAATAGCTCAAAAGTATGCATGTATGTATATATGCAAAAAAGTTTGACACACAGGCACCTTCAAGTTATAATCAAGTTTAATTAAAAAGTTAAAAAGAACGTAAGAATGCGAAAAGTAAGCAAACTATGTCGGCTGTAAACAGCAACAATATACCACAGGTATGTATGTAATATGTATACATATACAGTGGTCCACAAAATAATAGGAGTGCGATAACTACTTTGGTCGGTTTTGGCTATTTGTCTTTTAGTTATTTGATTTTTGATATTTTTGTATGAAAGTATAGCTGGTTATACAACAAACACCAAATAAATTCACATTTTAATCTTTGTACAAAAATTATAAAAATTCTGGAAATTTTGACAAAAATTTCAAACTTTTTAATTAGAATCTTTAGAACAACTTTTGGTATGCAGTTTTCTAGCTGATTTAATTCTAGTATAACGAAGTGCAGGTTTCAAGTTTGTAAAAAATTCCGTTGATTTCTGTGAATTTTTTTTAAATGACATGCCCATGTTAAAGTATCGCCTTCTTCAAGTGAAAGGGTACTTCGATTCCATTTTCATTTCCGTGGTAATCGTGTTTTTTGCTGGATAAGTGCATACAAATATACATGCATGTATGTATGTTTGTATTTACGAGAGTGGGTTAAATCCTTACCTGCGTGATGATGATGACAAGTGCGTGTAAGTGCATGGTGTGCGCCTTTGAATGTTAAAGGCGACAACACGAAATTTGGTTGCTTATTCGAAACTTTTTTACGCTAAGTTAAACAATACGCAACATTAACGCGCTCAAACACGCACATATTTTCATGACCTTGCATTTTTACCACGCTTATATAAACTCGCTGTCTTTTTTCACTCCACTGATCTTTGTTCTCATCGTTGCTTTTTTGCTGTTTCCGGGTATAAACGCGCCCTGCCCTGGCTGAATGTTGTATATTTTAACCCGAAACCCAGAGTCTTATTCTGACTAATGTTTAAAAAAAATCGATGTTGCGCTCGCATGTGTCACATCCCCATGTATGCGCATTAGGGTGGTCCAAAAATGAATGTGAAAAACTAAAGTCGGAATTTTTATATAGAAAAAAAATTTTGTTTTGAAATAAAAAAACTGTTTAGAGGTCGCTCAAAAACCATATTTCGTAGAAATGGTATAGAATTCTAGAAAATCCATATTTTTGATCGGAAAACTCTGTTTCTGTTCAGAAGATTCCCAATTCTTTAGTGTTAATAAATGATTAAATAAACAATTGGATATTATTATTGGAAGTCTCCTGAAGGGAACCAGAGAATTCCGATCAAAAAATAATGATTTACAAGAATTCGAATACGAAAACTTAATTTATTCCCAGCGACCTCCAAATAATTTTTGCGTACAAAAAAAAATAGGTATTATACGGGTTGAGTGCATTAAAATTCCGATTTTACTAATTTTGGACCACCCTAATGCACATGCATGTATAACATATTATGTACGAGTATGCATGGAAGTAGGCATCAATTGTCGCTGCGCAGTTTTTATGCCTGTAGCGACATAATGAGCAACTCAAAAATTAGGATACGCTTTAAAAAAAGGAATAAAGAGCAACAGGGGCAAAGGTTAAAGGTGGAAGGCCAAAGAGCGAAGGTAATATTTCACTTCAACGCGCAGGCATAACACAAATGCATACACACATATGTATATGTGATATGTGTGCATGTGTCTATGTATGCACACGAGGAAAATGTAAATAAGTAGATACTATTTCAAGGCTTAACGGTCTTGGCTGGGTGGCTGTCATTTGTTGCATATGCGGTCGGCGATTTATGTGGTGACAATAAAGTAAAAATATATGTTTATGGTTTCTTTATGCGCTCAACTACATACAAACATGCCGAAATACATGTATTTGCATACACATACACTCACACATAAGTAAATTAAGTTAAAGCTCCCTTCCCTGTATTCATTAAGAATTAAATAACATTTTATATGCACCCATTTCTGGTAATTAAGGGGCTTAATGAATATCTATTTCGATATCATTTTTGTAATAATGTTTCATTAATTCAATGTAAGCATAACAAACAAAAATGGCTATAAAAAAAACCCGAGTGTATTAATGCGGCGATGAGAAGACTCAGGCGCAATGATCCTGTCGTCGATGAAAAAATACTGCAGCTAAGTCAAAAATATTTTGCGCACCATTTTTAATTTGAGGCATTTTGAGTTGCTTTATTCAACTTAAAGTAAGCTCTATTGAATTGCAAAGTTGAAATTAACACCAGTGATGCCAGTCAAATGCCAGATGGATTCTAACAACATCAAGTAGTTTTTGTGAAAATTGCAGATACATAGAGAGTATTGAATATAAGCCCTCGATATCACAATTTTGAACTGAAAAAAAAAAAACAATGAGTCAGAATCTCCGAAGTGTACGAAAATTTTTTTGAAGGTCCAGCGTTTTTCTGGTTCACGAAGATAAAAAAAATTACAAATTGACCAATTTTTTATTTTCGTAGTTATAGAAACTAATAACTTTTTTTGAATTAGTTCGGATTTTATTGCGCCGCGTAATACGAATGTTTCGGCGTTTTTCTCCTGACGCGCAACCTATGTGTTTCGTTTCAACACGAAGACCGTTGTAGATTACAAGAAGATAATAGGTATGTTAGCTATGGTCAAAACCGCTCTCATACATTAAGACCCAGACACAAAGGAGTTGAAGGTGATGGGTGAAAGAGGAAACGAGCTAGCCGAAGCGGCCATTATCTCTCTTCTGCAAAGGGAAAGCAATACATATTCTTTAGCATTGCCTAAGAATTGAGAGCCATGACAATGACGCGTTGGGATAAAAACTCAAATTTGTTCTAAAACAAAAAATCTAAATTAAAATTCAAAAAACATAATTACAGAAAATCCCGTTAAAAATGCTTTCAGAATTTATAGTTTTTTTAGCTTATCGTTGATTTTTGGATTTTTTTTTTTGTTGAAGGTGTTGCTCATTTTTTTCATAAAAAAAAATAATCGAAGAAAATTACTGGCACTGTCCATGAAAAAATTGTCAAAAATCAACTGTATACATACTAAAATTACTAAAATTGAACGGGCTACAAAATTGCATAGACAAAGACTTTCTAAGAACTCGAATTAAAAAGCTTGAAATTTATACGAAAGTTTGTTATTATTATTTTTTTAATATTGCACAAAGTTTGAAACTTGGATTTATTCGATCTTTGTCAAAAAAAAAAGCTATAGTTTTATAAAAAAAAAGATATTAAAATTAAATGACAAAAAGATGAATTGTTAAAACTTGTCAATATGTGGTGCGATTGTAATTATTATACGGGTTGTACATCTTTTTCATTTATCTCATTCAGCTTAGAATGCAGCTCTTAACAAAAATCACAAATTTTTCATTACTTCTGTTGCTTGAAAAAATTTTATACATTTCTTTGTTTTTGTTATTTTATGGCAAGCTCAATAAAAATTGTTGAATATAACTTTTCCATTTCTGTAAATTTTCTTGTAGAAATACATAAACGATTTAAGACATTTTAATAGAAGAAAAATTCTTTTTCACTCCTTTTTTCTTAAGAGCTGTATTCTGAGCTTTAACATCCATTTCTACGACCAAAACAAATCTATCAACTCTCATGGAAACTATTCTCAGTATACAAAAGCCCCTAAAATTAAAACAACTT